GTCTGCATTTATGCGAACGCTGTCTCCGGTGTCAACTCGAATACAACATCGACAGGTCGCTCTCTCTCGAGAGTTATCTACCTGTTCACATGTTTTCATACGAGTAGATTCGGTACGCAAACCTCTACAACAGCCTTACGAAGGCCCTTTTCACGTGATCTCTCGTCACGAAAAGACCTTCAAGGTTGATCGACACGGCCGCGTCGAGATCGTCAGCATTGATCGTCTCAAACCAGCACACGTCGATGACAGTGCCCTACCCGATAACTTGAGACTCAATGCTAGACCTATCAAACCTTCTAGCGGGATCTCTACGTCTACCTCGGATCCCACGCTAGATACATCAGAGACCTCGTTCTCACGTCCCGGTCAACAGCACGCGTCATCTGCACCATCTACGGACGAGACTTCCGTCTCACGTCCAGATCGGCAGACCACGCCGCCCTTGACCTCGGATGAGATCGCAGGCTCACGAAGTACGAACGAGACCACCGTCTCACGTTCCGGTCGCCGAGTACGATTACCCGTACGCTTTCGCGACTAACCGCACAGTCAATAATGGATACAGTGTAGGATTATTCCTATACTACACGCATGCTACACTTTTCTTTTTTTGATTTTTTTTTGTATCCTGAGCCCACGCCTCCGACCATCGTCCATTTGATAACGTCGACTTCAGTCAACTTTGGCGAAAGCTGGTTTGGCCACCCACGCTCTAGTCAACGCACTCAGTCGATTATCTGGTCTCGAATTCGCCTGCCATTCGCTTGGTCTTTATGGTCGCTTCCGGTTTCTTGGCTCAACGTGGTTTCGTCCTACGTCTGCAGCGTTTTCTGGTCCACATCCCTACGAACGCAATCTTCAGATCCTGGATACAAACCACTCTGGTGTGGTATGCTAACTCGACCAACAAATACAGCACACTTCTCCTGGTACCGTTCTGCGCAAAAGACTTTCGTTGGCAACTCGAGGATCAATGATCACTTCCTGTTCCGCCAATTTCCTCCGTCCTACAACCGCAATTCTGCCGATCAGTCCCACGAATCAAACCGCTAACTATCGAAAGTGTAAACCCTTTCTAGCGGGGGGCTCCTGTAGTGACCTACTTTTGTCAACAGAACGCGATTGGTTCGATGAAAACAATTATTATTATAACCAATTGTACCAGTGACTGTTTTACTGTGCTCGTTTGTTTAACTGTGCTAATGACAGCCATTATACTTACTCTCCCGTTGACTTTGAACTTTTACGAATTCGGTTACGCTCAGTAACCACGCTTGTACTCCTTTGGCACGATCTCGGTATTCTTTCGATACCACGAGATCGCCAACAAATATATACGACTACTACAATCATCTGCCTTCTGATATTTTGGCCTATCGGAATTTTATTGGTCTATTGGCAAGTAGTCTGGTAGCGGTGTTCATAGTTCAGCTCAACTCGACACCACGCTACAACAGTATCAGGAGTTACCATTCGTAGGTTTTACAGAATGCGATAAAATTGAGCTTTGAAAGAAATCAGGAAAATCGCCTTATAAATTTCACTTTCATTTCTTTCGAAGAAATGACTTCAATACTGGAAGTTCCATATTCACTGGCTAGAAATGAAAGATTTCTGTGAGGATGTCAAACTGTCTAAACGCCTCAAGAGAATATTGAATGGGGCAGAAATAAATAAGCGCCTCTGGAACAGTGAAAATATACTTAGATCAAAAGGTCTTTACATGGCAAACATTTTCAGCCGATTAATTGCAAAACTACTCTGAGTGGTACGGAAAAGCATTTCACGTTGTTTAAGGTACGCTATAAGAATGCTTGCAGACTACTAGAAAAAGTAGCAACGCGCTTAAACGTGGTCGACACAGAAAATACCGACGTCATTGCCATCCTAGATATATGGTTAACGTCAGGATTGTATGATGGTGGAATTCGAGAGCTTGGTTTATAACTTCGTGTGTCTGACAGACTAAACCATGTGGACAGTGAAGTTATCCTTTACACAGAATGCATCTAATCAACTGAGCTGTCACGAAAATGGCACACAACTCGGAAATATGTGAACAAGTGCGCTGCCGACCGAGATGCACAGGAAAAGTCATTGAATTATTTGTAGCACACATCTGTCCAAAATGTGATATAGTGATATAGTCTATAACGTCGATGCATCAACTTCGTCCTAACTTAAGGAACTAGGAAGTGAAGGTTATAGACACTTCAGTCACGACAGAAGACTGGAAAATTCAATGTGATGCCTGAATAGGGGATGAATGAACTCGTTAACGCGAATGGTACAATTAAGTGACCGAACCAATAATAAACTGAACAGTCGTAAAGAAGAAGAAGCAAGACCAAACCTCGACAGACCAGGGAGCTCAACGTTTAACAAGACAAATGATAGAGAAGATCAGGAAAATGCAGAAGACATAGAAAACCATTCCAGTGTAGTTTCCACAAATAAGCCACTTCTAGATAAATGACTGAACACAAGGTCGGCCGCTTATTGTGGACTCAGACTGAGACAATGCTATCGAGGTACTGAGCACTTTGGACAGAGAAAAATCAATAGAACCGAAGGAAACATGTCTTCAAATCTTGAGACAAATGGTGTAACACATCGCTACTCCATTGATTAGGATATTCAATAGGTGAAATTTTGAATCCGAATGTAAGTTACTTAGTTACGATCACAATTAACAAACAAAATCTTCTGCTCCTATCCGAGTTGCACTATATTTTCAACTACATTATTTTTTATAAACTGGTTTTTCGTTAGTTTCTGGTCCTAAAAGTTCCGAAAGTGAGGAGAAAAATATTATCAATTGTCTTGCACGTTTTGGATAGATATTTCACTTGAGAAACACTTTTCATATTAACTTAGGTGAGTTGGATATAAATATTTTTTAAAATCCGAACATTGGTTATTGAAATATAGATTATTCTGGGGTTCGCGACACCCTTCTCTGCCTGTATCACTGTGGTAAGCCCATGATGTTCCTTGCCTGTGTATGATTGAATGCAATGTGATAAGTGCAGCAGATGCTACAATAACGTGTGTATTTCCCAGATTTCCGCTGCACATAAGAGTTTTTGTGGATCCAAGTCATAATATTTGTACAGACCATGACATTCAATAATGTCTCTGACGATTCCTAAGGCAGTTAAAAAATTCGAAGTTTCAATTTGCAGTTAACACTTTTACTGTCTTATCCTACCTCAAAATGCACGTGAGATGATTTCGTTTTGCGGCAGACTACAGAAAATAAGAACTATATCAATTAGGTGTATTATCAGGAAATATTAGAGAAATACAAAGTGAACCAACTGGCACATGGTCCGGCTTATGGAGTGTAGTTGTTTAAGTAGATTCCATTGCCCTTGATAGGGCAAAACTTATTAAAACGTTAGACTTCCAGTGTTTGTTTGTCGAAGCAAAAGGTTTGCTTGATGTACGATTGGCAGTTGAAGTTCAGGGAATACTACTACTGTGTCCTGTTATGATGAGCGTAGTGCAGAATAATTGTCATAAAAACACTGTAATCTCAGTGATCAGTTAAACACCTTGTGTTAATTAAATATATTATTACCATAACTGTTTCAATGACCTTTTCCATTTTCACGTGAAAGATAAAACTAGGAACATAAATGGTTCAAATGATTGTGGACGGAATAGAAGAAGCTTTCGCTTAACAGGATTCCGTGTCTGGTAGCAGGGGATCACTAATAATTCCAGGCAAGAACCTAGTCATATTAACTATAACAGAAGAAAAAAAGAAATTGGTAACTCAGAATAAGTTGTTATCCTTAGTCCTTAAGACGCCTATAATCTAATGGGTAAAGGTTAAGTGATTGTAGGTGCCCTTCATAAGGCTTGAATTTGAGTCTCCGAACTGATTTTGTGGCTCACAGTTGGATACGCTCCAGAGTGTCCTTATCTTTTGGAGAGAGGGAGAATATACTGTAAATAGGACGAATAAAACTGTTCTTCCGTCAAACTGGCCAAAAATGAGCTTCAATGTTATCAGTGCAAGGTTTGCTCGAAAGGCATTTTTGTCATAGTTAACGTAAGACTTCGAATCGTAGGTACCAGGACTCCTAAATCTTTTTCAACTCGGGATACTACTAGAGGGAAGTTGTAACTGAAATCTGCGACATGTTGCCGAAGGACTACTTTGCACTTTGAAGTGTTAAGGATAAGACCGTTATCGTCTGCCCAAACTTGAATACAAGTCAGATCCTCCTGAAGTGCCTGTATACCCTCTTGGTAGCGTACCTTGCTCCAAAGTTTCACGTCATCAACATGCACCGTATTTTATATGCTTGTCAGAATCTCGTAGTGGAAAGTCTCAAGTTATATGTCAGTATGTGTGCCCAAATACCCACATGCAATGAAAGTGCGAAATATGAGATAATGCAGATTGGAAACGTCAAATTGTTCACAACATGGCAACATATGAACCACAAACTGTTTCGTGGAGGAAGAGGGGTACGCACGATATGAAATAGGACGATCTGGGTTATAATGTTGATCCAGTCTTTTCAAATGAAAGTAGGACAAAAATACCTACAAACCTAGAGAGTTACATGACACGTGTTAGAAGAAGTAAAATATTATTAGACATTTAGTTTAGTGATTAATAAATGTGATTTCCTTTCCTCTCGTTGATTGCTGCTCCGGACGCACTGATAGGCTGCATATGTGTTATCTAGTTATAAATATTATCTCCTGTTATTCTGGCTACTGGACCCTGAATCTGATATAACGTGACTAGTCCCATCATTATATTAGTCCAATAAGATATTTCAAACCAACTATCATATTTAGAACGTTTTCATGCAAGTCATAAACTAAATACAAATTCCATATTTTCCAAGAATCTAAACCTGGCGATGAAAAGCTTATATGCACCCAGTGTCTGGCCTCGTAGTATCAGTCAGCAATTTGCAGAAGCATAAATAAATGAATACTTTCTAAGCAATGACAAAGTACGTGTGATGATAATCAGAAGAAACATATTTTTTATTTAGTTTTTGCTACCATTTCCATTTATTTTATTGGTCAAGGTGCTAATACATCTGTGAAAAATTGTTAGGAAACCACTCTAAATGATAAAATAAAGCATTTCCAATCAGTTCTCAACTGCCAATAAATTACATGACAAAAAGCAGTTTACAAGCAGAACCATATTACGAAAACAAATTCAAAAGGGTTTCTATACGAAATATCCAGTTACAAAAGCATGTTATAGTCCAATATATAGACACTTTACAGGATCGATGAAACAAATTTTGATGGATCCAACCCAAAATATATATCCTAGATATACAAGTCATTATCCGTAGTTCATAGTGCCAATTTACCTTCAAGTAAGATTCCTGTTTTACATATGGAGTGATTTCCAAGTTGAAAGCAAAACCAACCAAATGTTTGTAACATGAGTTAAAAAGGTCTTTCGCAACGTTGGGCAGCGTCCATATGATTCATTAGTCGTTTCATTCTAGATCGTAAGCAGAATTGAACAATATTATTGCTGACCACACACGATCCTTCTTTAATGATAACCATTTAAAATTCATGGTATGAATTTATAGTGTTTTACTTTACGCTGTTGTACACACCGCCAGAACGCATTGTCTTTATAAGTATTTTATTACAAGCAAATCCAACCGTTGAGTTTCTGCACAGAGGGTTATACCAAAACTTAATATGTAACAATGAAGTAGACGATTGGAATTCTAATCAGGTGATAAGTATCTCAGCGTTCGGAAGAATAGATAGTTTCTGGCAGACAGTTCAATAAAGGGATGCAGGTTTGAAATATTTGTAGGTAAGGCGATTTAAGTAAAAATAAATATAAAAGCATTGTGTGCTAATAAACTATTGTTACATTAATTTCTAGACTGACAAATAATAGGCTGGAAGAATTCACGATATCTAAGGCTAAAAGTCGTTTCCTATAAACACGTAACAAGGACTTGTCCTAGAAAGGCTTGGAACCTACTAGACAATCGGAGAACTTAGAAACAGTAAACACAGAAAGCATTGACTTTATTGCCATCCCACAAACATCAGAAATGGTCTGCTGAAACTGTACAATAAAACTAAGAGCCATCCCCACAGTGGTGCAAGTTTCAGCAACGTGTGAATCGATGCTTCAGTAAATGGTATAGTAGATGATTTCATACCAACGTGCAACATTCTTCCAAACATATAGAAATGGACTAATTTCCAAAAAGTTTAAAACTAGCGAGACGACGCGGTTTCAGTTGCGAATATGGAGAAGGGTCCCAAATAGGACGAGACAAGCGTCCCGGGTTCAATACCTAGTCACTGTTCATCTAGGTATTTCTAGTTGCATTCCCAATAGGAAATTTAAAAATGTGAACCTGTCCTACTGAATAGGTTAGAATGGTTTACAAGTAACGGTAATACAAAAGCCTTTCCAATTAAAAACGAAATTTTAAGTTGGTTTAACCGTTATTGATGTGAATTATCTAACGATGATTGGTTGATCTCTGTTTCATAACACATTTAAGGTGTAAAGGTCTATTATGTTAACAAGACAAACTCTCTAACCGCTGGCTGAATAGCTAAATATGTCCATTGGTTGAACATGGGTCATATAAAATAACCAGATTTAAGCAATAACAGAGATATTCCTCACTATGTCTTGACAGATATGATATAAGGCAACATATGAATGTAAACTACAGTTAGAATTTCGATCTCAATTTCTAAGGTAAAATATGTCGTACAATCCACTCATAGCAATCAATGAGTATTTAGGTAACATGTTTCATTATTGTTTAAATCCTGATGATAGCTATTCTTTCCGTTACTGTCATTCATTGAGATCGAATGGAATATACAGGGATGTATTTATAAGACAAACGATCAATATTAGAGGGGATTCTAGTGTTGATTTGAACGTTCATAATTTGTAAGCTTTCTACTGATCAAAAGTTTATAGAGACGGTTGACAGCAATCAACAATCCATGATGAAGCAATATATCACTCAATTCAAATCCAGAATGCAAAACAAACGTTCACAAAAATAATTTTCGGTTGGCATCCATGAATGCAGTGAACACATTGTACATGAGGAATGATAAAGTAATTGAACATAAATGCAGAGTTACTTCAAAAGAACCGTGGATTTTAGTGTTCAAAGAAATTGACGTTTTCTGATTTCAAAACCACATCAGGTCTTCTACATAAGCACATTCTTCCATGATTAGACCACTATACTCTTGGATTTCTTTTCGTTGTATTTATGTATAGATTTATTGAGCCCAAATATGTTACGAGAAAACAACATTGGAAGTACCTATGTCACTGTCATTCTTAGGCATACAATAATGAAAATTGTTAAATACATCAGTAATATCATTAATTGGTTCGGGTGGTGCATTTAACGGAGTGAAGTATTCTTACCGAATCGTCTCGAATAAGTTTAGACAATCGGATGGCAGAAATGTGTTTTGCCCACCTTTGCTTTCAAATCATATCATAACTTTATGGATGGTAGGGGGATGTTGAAACATATGTATAATGAAACAAAAACAAAGGTACAATATGAAAGAGTGAAGAGGAACTGGAAGCAACTAGAATAGCAAAAATATGATAACGTGAATGTTTACATAAAACAGTGCATCATTTTTCGATCCTTTAGATATGTATGGAACGCTGGCGAAACGCATCGATTTCAGAAGCGTAACCATACCGAAATATTACTATAATAATGTGACGAAATATGTTCGTCTTATCAGGCGAACAATCGAAAAATAGGACAGGGAAACTGAAACAAGTTAGTTAGTTATCAGTAAGAATGAATAAAAAAAAAGAACATCTGAGATATTTTCAATGTGCAGAATGCTATAAAATACAAACAATTCCAGTATGGATTTGTTGTAAAGAGAAAAAGTAACAAATTAGAATGAAACAATCGTTGCAAATTATGAACGAAAATAAAACTGGTTTATTAGAAAGCCCACAGAATGCAAACACATACACACACGAGCAGCAACATACAAGTAGGGAAAATTAAGCCAAATATTCATAAGCATCTCGTTCATTGTTATCTCGTTTAATATATTCTCTTTCAATGAGAGCGGTAATACATCGCTGAAACATAGAAAATACACACAATAACAAAAACGTTTGCGTTGAATATGTTTAAAATGATCAATACTAGTGAACCTGAAAATGTGGACGTTAAATAGTATATCATTCGATCAGCGAGACCATGATTTATGGACGAACCAATCACGTATAAGATAAAAAGTCTCAAATTTTGGTATTATAGCTGATGTCAGTTCGTGATGACAACCCTTCATCGAATTTCTAATCCAAACCATCAACTGTAAATCATAATTATAATTCCTCACACAGGTTAATAACCCTCATTTGGTCCTGGTTATTCGGTGAACACTCACAAGGTCGGTTGAACGTCATCCAAATGTCGTCCATAAATTATAGTCTCACCTTACTTTGACTTACTAACTTACAATATTGTTTCTCGAAACAAATAAATTAGGTTTAAAATCATTTCGGTTATAATTAATTGCAATCATGGAAGACATACAACGATAATGATTGGGAAATGCGGAGCATAAGTAAGTAGTAAGTAAACGAGGCTGATAAGCACTTTAATCATATAAGAGCAGTAATATCTTTAATTTGACCTGATTTATTATGATGAAAATTCAAACGAGTTGATATTTTATATTGTTACAACACTGAATCCAGAGAATTAGCCCACTTTAAACGAGGATAAATGGCGTTTTGTTGAATTATTTTAATAAAATCGAAATATAAATTACACAAATTTATTTCTAACAGATTTGAAGACATCTAGCATCAGAAAACTCAAAGTACTAATCGTCTACTTCAAAAATGTGGGTGCTGATGTTGTCCAGAACGACATGAAAGTATCACATCTGAACTATCTAAATTAAATGGCTAAACTCCATCAAATGTACCACCTACATACCGCATGTTGATAAGATTGTGTACATTCATCGAATGAGGTGATTGATACAAGTATGTCACATATTTACTAAATGTACACATTGGTAGGCTATATACCAGGTCGATAGGAGTACCCCAAAAAGGTTGCATGCGAATGAAACATGATATGTGCAACAATACATCAAATCACTGACTGCTGACTTAGATATGGTCAACATGTACAAAATTTTATGATTGAAGTCAGTGAAATAATTGTAATTTGACGTAGTTGGAGAGTGGGGTTCAATTTACCGATAGGTGATATATATATATATATATATATATATATATATATATATATATATATATATATATATATATATATTATTGTGTTTTACTTTGCATTGTACTAGCAACTCTATTTACTGTTGTGATTCGTATTTCCAGCTTTATTGTTCACTAAAGTTCATCGCATTATTTCTGTTCGTTTTCCATTTAATGTGATAATTTCCCCTCGGTTTGTTGATGTAAAGTACGGAAGGTTGGAGCAATATGCATTTGTAAACAAAAACTGATTTTGATGTTCGATTGTCTGTAACCGACTAATATTAGCACTGAAACATTTAGATATGACTGAATTATCTATGAATACATATATATGCATTTCAACTGTGTGGACAAAGTTCACTGATGAATAGAATTTATTTATTCATATAAGGAAACGTTATCTGAACGAAACTTAACAATTAAGATTCCTATCCTTGAATTTAAGCTACAATTTAGATGTGAGAATTAATAATAATATTCAATGGCACAAATCGAGAGTTTAAGTGGAGTTGGCAACCTATGACTAAAGTAGTTGGAATGATAGCTACACTATCTAAGAAATCCAGTGACAATTTTTAGAAATATTATCACCGTTTAGGATTTATGAAATTATAAACTGTGAAGCAAGGAATTGATGGTATTCTATTCACTTTCTTATATATACCAGCCAATCCGACTATGGATGCTATTGAATGATAAAAAGAGGAAAAGTTTACACTATCTACTAATTATAACATGAAATAATGATCTTCTTTTTCATATATATTACCAAACAAAACTTACTTTAATTAATAATACAGTGGGTTTAAATCGAGGTGTTAATTGGGTAACCACTTCAGAGATTAATTGATGGTGTTTCATTACTTTTCTAGTCTTCATAATACGTACTATACAAGCCTATAGGAGAAAGAGAACAAAAGTAAGAATTAAAATGGATTAACACATTCAACCCAAGATTTATTTTATTTTGAATGTATAACTTGTTTTAATAGTGAAGAAGCTGGAAACAGATAAGTCGATTAGTATCTATGCTTAAAACACGGTCGAATTCTTAAACATCATCCAATCTAGACTGATCATATTCTGTATTTTGTGATATAGTAGATTAAATCGACACACATTTAAACGGATTATAATTGAGATATTGGCCTTAGATACACTATTTAAATGATCTTCTAATCTGAGAATTACATTTCACAGTACTGTATTCTAGCGTATTCTCCAATTATAATTGTAACAGGGTTATTCATAAAGTTTGTTTTTAATTATTCAGTCATTCAATCAATCAAGTGTTTATCGTGAGCACGTGATTAATTTCTCTAATTCATGAAAGTTTGTATTTTGAGCGGAATGGTTTAGTCGTGGAGTTTTCATTGTTCCTCTGATCAACATTATCATTTCCGTTTATATCAATGCATTCGGACGATTATGGACATACATTTGACTAGAAAAAAATTTTGATATTGCTTCCTTTCTTAAACAAAACTTGTTAGTTTCATCTCGTCATGTTGACGTGGATGTAGCAACTTTGGCTAGCAAACTCATGTGTTAGGAGGTTCTTTGTTGATCATGACTGACTACCTAACTGCAACTATAATAGAAACGAACAAATGAAATAATAACCTACAAGCTTTAAATGTCAGCCTTGTACGTTACATCGAATTAATGAGATAAGACTAACATCTTTGTGTCCCTACCTACATCAAACAATATGATATACAGATAGTATTTACAACTTGATAATTGAAGATTATGTAAGTATGTGTACACTATAAAGTCAAAACGGTTCTTTTACAAAAACGTAAATGAAGATATTAACACACATTTTCATCACACAAAAAAAAATAATTAAAATCATAAGTAGATAAAGCAGTTTTAAGGATCAACTAACCTGAACAATTAATTTTCGATCAGATTCTACATTCCCTAAAGTCTGTTCAATTTCTTGTTTCGTTTCACTTTTCAAAGGAACATTTAAATAAACTCGAACGCGTTTACTAATTGCATTGACATTGACATGAATAACAACAAATAGAGAGCAACAGTAAAAAATCAATAACAATTAAAAGCAAATTACATTAAATATTATTGAGCATCAGTATTGTATTGGTCTGAACAATCAACAGCAATGAAAACAATAAAAAAAATCTGAGATTTTCATAAATATAAACTGCCAAAGAAATCTTTTACACTGCTTTCTAGCGCCACGGGTGTTGTTTACGAAATTGAGAGGACGAAAAGCAAATGTACGGCGCTCGAACCGGGTTGGTGAATTCGGAGGAAACACCTAGAGAAGTTGGAAAACCCTGATTACAAACCAATGGTGCACATGGGCTCCAGTATTCCAAGAGAACAAATGGCGTATAGACCAATTGCTGATCACCGGCTACCAAGGGACTGCATCTCCTTAAGTTGTTTCACTGCCTTGTGGGTCAGACCTTTGGGTTGAAGGCTCCAGGTATGGCCCCCTAAGAAAACCACCTGCCTCAGTCTGCCCGCCCGGGTAGTATTCCAGCCCTCACACAAATCGAATGATTTATGTGGCCCATATATATTTGGTGCCTCCTTGCACTAATGTTTATGTGTTTAAAAAAACAAAAGATGCAGTTTGAAATAGAAAAACTGACGGTGAGTTATTACACTAAATGTACAAAAAGTTGTTATGAAATCTCAGGTAATATGGTTGTTTAAATGTACTTCAGGAGATTGCATGATTAAATATATTTCTATATATAACTATAGTGTAGAGTTTTCAACCAGGTTGGTGCTAAAACAAGATCGATAAAGCGTAGAGGTAACAACTATATAAAATGGCATTGTAGTATGATAAAAAGTTGTACAGTGTTGGCACTGGTCGATCCAACACAACTCTCCGGCTGAGATTACTGAGATAGTACAGTATTGTGAAATGCTATCAGCCAAGGCTCAGAATAGAAGCTAATGGTGATGATGCTATAGTTTTCTTTTACATTCCTTGTATAAATGAAACTATCTTACGTGAAAGTCTTTCTTAGGTGTATTTTCGACTGGACTGTACCCTTACTTATATACTACTATCAGTCAGTTTTTTCTTTGCAACTTAATCTCTGTACTTGTTTGATGCATCCTACTTTAGATGCCTGCTTGTGTCACAGATCTACACAAATTTTATAAGAGAGCTTTTATCTATTCGTGAAAAAAAAATTAATGTATTATGTAGAAACCAATTATATTTGGGATTCTTGAATCAAAATTCCTTCTTCAAAATAGAGCAGTAGAACTATTCGCTCACTAAGTTCCCATTAGAACTATGTTATTTACATCATCCTACTTGTTGTTTATAAAATAAAATATGAACTAAATGCTTGATAACTAAACCCAGATAGATTTCCATATGATCAATAGTAAGAATTGAAATGATCACTGACAAAAAAAAGTAAGAATATTTCCGAATGGAAGATTTGAAATAGCTTAAATCTATACAGTATTGTTCACTCTAATTATCCTTGTTTACGAATAACAAAATAGACATGAGGATTACCAATAGGCTGAAAATATTGCATAATACAATTTTGCAGCTTTTAAAAGCCAAAAAATCTGTATTACTTGTAATGATTTTTTTTAAGGTTTGATTATCTTCTAATAGGTTGTTTTTGAATTTCAAGATCATTTATAAAATAAATACATATACTACTTGTATAGCAACATTAACAGTCGTATACAGAGTAATTATCATTTTGAGAATGACCAGTTATCATGTTATGTAAATTATTAAACTGGTTCAAAGTCAGTCTCGATAGCGTAGATTCATTCACTCGTTTTCTTCTCATAGATTTCTAAATTAATTTATACCATTTTATTCTGTCCATTTATTATTTCACTTTGAACTAAATCCTAATCTCTAATATATACATTAAAATCACTGATACTATTAATAATTTTGTGTTCATCCTGCTGTGCTGAGTCCGCTCTCCCTCTCGAAATGCTCTCAAATGACCACGCGTATATAGCCTCTACCAGGGAAGTCCTACTCACTGCCTTCTCGCACCACGGCTGTTGTTTACGAAATTGAAAGGACGAAAATCGAATTTCCGGTGCTTTAACCGGATCCCAAACCAACAGTGCACATGGGCTCCAGTATCCTGCCTGAGGGAACAAATGGCGTATTAACCAATCTTTGGTCACCGGCTACCATGAGACTGCATCTCCTTACGATGCTCCACGGCCTTGTGGATCAGATCATCAGATCGAAGGATCCGGGCGTGGCCCCCTATGAAAACCATCTGCTTCAGTTTGGGCACCCGAGCAGTATCACAGCCCTCACACAAATCAATTGAGATTCGCGTGGCGCATATGTATTTAGTGCCTCCTTGTACCAATACGTATGTGCTAAAATAAATAACAGGGACATTATTATCCTGTTACGGAATTTTTTTTAGTTTGATGTTGCGATTTGAGCTGATGCATGATGATGGGTTAGGTTCTATGATTTATATAACTAACTAAATAACGGTAATATATATAAGGACATAAGGAAACTAAATATTTACACCCCTGGAAAGTGAAAACGAAGCCCCTTGTTTTGGTATTTTACAAAAAAAAAATGTAATTTCATCAATTGAATGCAGACTAATCTAAGCCGAACGTTTAAATATAAATAACTTTTATTGTCTTCAAGTACCGCGTTTATTTTGTAAAGTAATCTATACAGTAATATATACTAAAACGTGCTACAAATAATCTGGGATCAGTTTGTTTATTTTTTGTAGCCGACAAAATATAACAGAATTTAATAAATTAAATTGAACATATGATCATTCACACACTGACCGATCATATGTTCTTACACTATACAAATGTGTTTTTTTTTGTTGTTGGTTAAACTAAACATAATATAAAAGCATGTACAAAACACAAGGACAAAGTTGCCTGACATATATAACAATAACTAGAAATTGTTTTTAATGAATAACTATAACACCATATTATGAAGGGTTGTTTATAGTGAAGTTATGTAACATTATAAAACAATAAGTATTTCAATATTTCACAATATATTGATATGTATGATATAAAAATCTTAATCACATGAGGCAGGAACGTGGATGCATACTGCTGAGGAGTCCCACAATAGAACGAAACGACCATTCAGTGCTTTTAGGTTTAGCTTCAAATAGACTTATGAACTTAACTATTGAAATTATTTATAAGATATTTGAAGATCAGTTAATCTATCCAAAATTTATAAGCTAATTAATATTATAACTCCGCCTGGAGTCCCTTTCCGGGGGCTACTGCCGGTCCCAAGCCCGGATAAAGGAGGAGGGTTGGGCATGGGGTTAGCGACCCCATCCCGTAGAAAACTAACTCGCTAAAAAAACGCTAACCAGAAAAAATTATTCAAACCATTTAAACTCTGCCCTGGGAGTCAGGAGGTCTTCGTTTAGAAGAATTATGACGCCTCATGATGAAAGCCGAGTTTCTTCGAAAGTCACCAGGCCGATGCCCCTTCTGACAACCAGAGCAACCATTTATTTAGGTACATGGAATGCTCGCACAATGTGGGAGACTGGGAGAGTTTTTCAAATTGCTGCAGAAATGAGGAGATACAATTTAGAGGTGCTTGGGATCAGTGAAACACATTGGACGCAAGTTGGACAACAACGACTAGCTTCAGGGGAGCTGCTGTTATACTCCGGACATGAACAAGAAAATGCCCCACATACACAAGGAGTTGCATTGATGCTGTCCAAACAAGCACAAAATGCACTTATACTATGGGAATCTCATGGACCAAGGATCATCAAAGCCTCCTTCAAAACAAAGAAAACGGGGATTACAATGAACGTCATCCAATGCTACGCGCCTACCAATGACTACAATGAAGACGCTAAAGATCAATTCTACGATAGGCTGCAGTCAATCGTCGAGAAGTGCCCAACAAAAGACCTGACTATTCTGATGGGAGACCTAAATGCTAAGGTTGGAATTGACAACACCGGATATGAAGAGATCATGGGACGACACGGACTGGGAGAAAGGAACGAAAATGGTGAGAGATTTGCAAATCTATGTGCCTTCAATAAACTGGTCATAGGTGGGACTATATTCCCACATAAACGCATACACAAAACCACATGGACTTCACCGGATCACACCACACAGAACCAAATCGACCATATCTGCATCAACAAAAAGTTCAGGAGGACGATGGAGGACGTGAGAACAAAGAGAGGAGCTGATATAGCATCAGATCATCACTTGCTGGTCGCCAAGATGAAATTGAAACTCAAGAGGCACTGGACAACGGGGAGGACAATATCACAAAAATTTAATACGTCTCTTCTTCGGGATAATGACAAACTCAATAAATTCAAGATAACCCTCAGCAATAAGTTCCAAGTCTTTCATGATCTACTCAATGGAGAAGGAACTACTATGGAGAGCAACTGGAAAGAGATAAAAGAGGCAATCACTTCAACACGTCATGAGGTTCTGGGCCAAAAGAAGCACCATCACAAGGATTGGATCACGGTCGATACACTGGATAAGATTCAAGAAAGGAGGAACAAGAAAGTAGCAATCAATACCAGTCGAACAAGAGCAGAAAAAGTCAAGGTACAAGCTGAATACACAGAAGTAAACAAGCAAGTGAAAAGGAGCATCAGAACCGACAAACGTAAATATGTGGCAGATTTGGCATTGACGGCGGAAAAGGCTGCAAGAGAAGGAAACATGAGACAACTGTATGAAACAACAAAGAAACTCTCCGGAAATCACCGTAAACCAGAACGACCAGTGAAAAGCAAGGAAGGCAAGATAATCACCAACATTGAAGAACAACGAAACAGGTGGGTAGAACACTTCAAAGAACTCTTGAATCGACCAGCCCCACTGAACCCACCCAACATCGAAGCAGCACTCACGGACCTCCCAATTGATGTTGGCGCACCGACAATTGAAGAAATCAGCATGGCTATCAGAAAAATCAAGAGTGGCAAAGCAGCAGGACTAGACAGCATTCCAGCAGAGGCACTGAAAGCAGACGTAGCGGCAACTGCAAGGATACTCCAAACTTTCTTCAAAAAGATCTGGGATGAGGAACAGGTACCAAAAGACTGGAAAGAAGGACTTCTAGTCAAAATACCAAAGAAAGGCGATCTCAGCAACTGTGACAACTACAGGGGAATCACTCTTCTTTCAATACCAGGAAAAGTCTTCAACAGAGTATTGTTAAACAGGATGAAGGACTCCGTAGACGCCCAACTTCGAGACCAACAGGCAGGATTCCGTAAGGATAGATCGTGCACAGACCAAATCGCAACTCTACGGATCATTGTGGAACAATCAATTGAATGGAATTCATCACTCTATATCAACTTCATCGACTACGAAAAAGCATTTGATAGCGTGGACAGAACAACCCTATGGAAGCTTCTTCGACACTATGGCGTGCCTCAGAAGATAGTCAATATCATACAGAATTCCTATGATGGATTAAACTGCAAGATCGTTCATGGAGGACAGTTGACAAAGTCGTTCGAAGTAAAGACCGGTGTCAGGCAAGGTTGCTTACTCTCACCCTTTCTCTTTCTCCTGGTGATCGACTGGATCATGAAGACATCAACATCTGAAGGGAAGCACGGGATACAGTGGATAGCTAGGATGCAATTGGATGATCTAGACTTCGCAGATGATCTGGCTCTTCTATCGCACACACAACAACAAATGCAGGAGAAGACAACCAGTGTAGCTGCAGCCTCAGCAGCAATAGGTCTCAATATACACAAAGGGAAAAGCAAGATTCTTCGATACAACACAACATGTACCAATCCAATCACAATTGACGGAGAAGCTTTGGAAGATGTAAAAACCTTTACATATTTGGGCAGTATCATCGATGAACACGGTGGATCTGATGCAGATGTGAAGGCACGGATTGGCAAAGCAAGAGCAGCATATCTACAACTGAAGAATATCTGGAACTCAAAACAACTGGCAACCAACACCAAAGTCAGAATTTTCAATACAAATGTCAAGACAGTTCTACTGTATGGGGCGGAAACCTGGAGAACTACGAAATCCATCGTCCAAAAGATACAGGTGTTTATTAACAGTTGTCTACGCAAAATACTTCGGATCCGTTGGCCGGACACTATTAGCAACAACCTACTGTGGGAGAGAACAAATCAGATCCCAGTGGAGGAAGAAATCAGGAAGAAGCGCTGGAAGTGGATAGGACACACATTGAGGAAAGCACCGAACTGCGTCACAAGACAAGCCCTCATATGGAACCCTCAAGGTCGAAGGAAGAGAGGAAGACCAAAGAATACATTACGCCGAGAAATGGAGATAGATATGAGAAAAATGAACAAGAATTGGATGGAACTTGAAAAGAAGGCCCAGGACAGAGTGGGTTGGAGAATGCTGGTCGGCGGCCTATGCTCCATTGGGAGTAACAGGCGTAAGTAAGTAAGTAAGTAATTAATATTATTCTTGTGGATGATGATGAGGATACCATTGTGGTATTCTATTTTTTAAGGTGAAATATACAAAGTTATCAGAGGACAAGAAGTCACGCTACCTTGGTTGAAATTGATATGTGTAAATAATAGCTTTGATTGACTATTAATAAACATATATTCCACTGGTTCTGAAATATCTTTCATAAAGACTTGGGGACTGATTGTGTGAGTAGATTATCAGTTTAGCCATCTCAACTATTCCAGTAAATTAACTTGCTGGTCAATCACACTGTCATAATACATAACACGTAGACTGACCCTTGAAAATCCATGTACTTGTTGATAATCTTGACACAAAAATAACATAATTCAAATTAATATACACTTCATATAATTGCGAATTAAAAGAAAATAATACACACAAAAATTAACTAACTAACTTTTTATAATCTGTATACAGCGCCAAATGGGTATCCGGTGATAAATGTGTTTCATTTGAATCATCACTGATTACTGTTGATTGATCTATTTCACATTTTGGATCGGATACAATTTTCAATACTTTAGCTTTAAGTAAAATTTGTAGAATTTGTAATAATGTGGCTTCTTCAATACCAGTTTGTAGTTGAATAGCTGACACTGTGTACACTAATGATGAATTATACAACATTAAAACAGACATCTGGTACGTTGAAACCTTTTGTTTAAAAAAGAGTGGTAAAATCACATACAACTAATTCAAAGGGACTGTTTCACAACAATTTTTCATAAAATATTTTAATAAATAAAAAATATATAACATTTTCATATTCTGCCAAAACTGGGCGGTTAGAAGTAGCTTCATATCAAGACGTAGAGATAGTCCATAAAGTTACGTCAGGAAGTGTAAACTTTGTAACTAGGATCTCTTGAATAATGGAAACTTTATAGTTGGAGGCATTAAGTGACATGTGATTATAGAGAGCCATACAGAAGTGACCTGTAGTACAAGTGAATTTTATTGATTAACAAATAGATCGATTTTCTAAGGATTGGAGTGGTATGTATATATATGATTGAGTATTTGTACATTTTATTTAGCCGTTCAATACACTTTTTCGTTGAGAGGTGAGCGTGTAGCACACTGTGCACCGATATCAGATTTTACACACAGCTCGTCACAGCAAGACGACCTAAAGTTGGTGAGATTGTCACAGGTTTATCCTTTTTTCTTGCCTTTTTGAGTATGGTTATCGTGCTGTACACCATAAATGATTAACTCCCAATATAATCGAATTCGGTAAATACTTATTGTGTGAAAAAACGTGTTTACCAGGATAGGTAACCATTAACAATTACTTTGAATCAATTTCACAAAAGATTCATCAACAAATCATTATCCAATATATACATATAAACATAAACATACTTGAAATATATATCTAGTCTTAGTATAGTTAGTCACAACTTCACCACGTGATAAATGATAACACCATGTCAATTTACGACCAGTATGATGTTCTTGATAGAAAGCAAGAAATGTATTGTGACATTGTTCCAACTAAGATTTGATTGTATAATGAGGAAAAAAAATAAAGGAAAAATAAATTCAATTGAAGATGAAAAAAAGACGAAACGGATATCATGAAGTGATGAAAGTAGGGTATACAGGGTTTGGTACTTTTTACACTGTGAAACAAAATCAAACTTATAAACGGGAAGTTTGTATGTTATTTATCAAAGAATTGGGCGGGGGGGGGCATATTAAGATTGAGAGAGTTGAAACTGTAACTTCTACTACTACTTTACTTGTAAATAAGTAAACACTCTTTTCCATCACACTATAATGGTTTATTTGAAATGCGAACATGTTTGTTCAGTGAATGACTGTAAATCACTGTTCGACATAGTGGTTCAAATAATACTCGACTATGGCCTACATTGTTCATACGATGACTAGAGCAATTAACTGAATGCTTTGGCTAAACCTGTATTTAAACTTGGGACCTATTGTTTAATGATAATCGTATTACCTGTTAATTTTCTAAATCTAATATGCCACTGTATAATATTTGACGTCAAACTGTCTCTGGCAACAAGTCGATTAAACTTCAACGATTAGAGGTTGAGACTGAGGCGGGACTACTGGACAATATGAGTATGAGTAACTGAAAAAATGATCGATTTCAAATATTTTCTGATAGAACATATTAAGAAAGTGGTTTTGGATACTCTAATAGTTCCTTGATAGTCCTCAGTAGCTAAAAAAAAATGCTAGTAAATGTCCCATTAAACAGTGTTCAATAAAAACTCCTAAGAAGATTCTACAGAACACCAAATTATATTTTTATTTCCTGACTTCTTTATTGCGGATATTGCTATCCATGTCATATATTTTTATAAAGGCTTCTACAATCCTCAGGTCACGTATAATAATATCAATAACTTTATTCTCTATGAACAAACTCTTCTTCGAAGAAAAGTTTCTTTTTTACTTTCTACACTTTCTTTCTGTTAAGGATCCAAGAGTAGATTTTTGGAGACTAAGAAGCAGTTATGAAGTCGATATGAAACAAAAACTACTGAAACCTCAAAAAATACGAATATTTAAACTGACATTTTTAAAATGTTAAACGATTGAACTACGAGTTTCTTATCTAACTTGACGAATTCAATACACTGATAAATTTTTTTAAAAATCATAATGTATTTACATAGTACTGAATAACTTACTTCAGGAGGAATAGAAAAAGGCCCTTGAGCTTGAAATGGCCATGCATTTGAACTAAGAATCATGATATTAAAATCGGCTAAACAAATATAAATGAAATAATTATTAATATTGAAACATTACTAAGCATCTTTATCTAGATTGATCATGAGAAAATAAGAAAATTATAAAACTATTTACAAATTATATGATACACAAGAATTATATTATATAGTTAGATCTCATAGTGATTGGTAAGTGACTAGTGTAGCAGTGGGTCGAAATTCCCAATAAAAATGTCAAAACAGTTCTACTGTATGGGGTGGAAACCTGGAGAACTACGAAAGCCATTATCCAGAAAATACAAGTGTTTATTAACAGTTGTCTACGCAAAATAATTCAGATCCGTTGGTCAGACACTATCAGCAACAACCTACTGTGGGAAACGATAAACCAGATCCCAGTGTAGGAAGAAATCAGGAAGAATCGCCGGAATTGGATAGGACACATATTGAGGAAAACACCAAACTGCGTCACAAGGCAAACCCTCACTTGGAATCCTCAAGGATAAAGGAGAACAGGAAGACCAAAGAACACATTACGCCGAGAAATGGAGACAGGCATGAGAGGAATGAACAACAATTGGATAGAATTAGGAAGGAAACCCCATGACAAAGTGATTTGAAGAAGTCTGGTCGGCGGCCTATGCTCTGTTGGGAGTAACAGGAGTAAGTGATTGGCAAGCAACACATCAACAAATCCTATAATTCTTAATCATTTATTTAATGCGCGAACATCTTAGTGTACTAAATAGAAATTTATTCAGTTAGCTAGTTGACTTATGTTTTCATATGTTTGTTTGGCTGTGATAGAGTCATTAACCTATTATCATCTTGTGTGAAAAATCATCATTTAAGCGTATAATATTATAAACCGTTGTCATTAATATTGTTGTTAAACTCTTTGAACACTTCTATAATAACGGAATATGAAAAATAGATCCAGATCAACGTAACAAAATCAATTTGTATGACGATATGTAGAAAGTCGAAAGGTGTATGACTATAGCATGATGATGCAATCAAAGGAAGCAAAGTTATACAAAGAAAGATACCATACATAATATTTGTAGCCGATGATGAAGTCCATGCTTAATAGTGTATAAAAAACTAACTAACTTTTCAAATGTTATAGGAAATTACTAAAAGGAAGTCATAATATAATAGGTGACCATGTTACCACAAAACTGTTGTTTATTTAAATGATAACGTATCAAAAAAGAAATTTCTGAGCTTGCGTTGAATCACAACTTTTTTTATATGAACATTTACAAGAAGGATACCAATCTATGACTAATTGGTTGAAAATTAAGTTAACATGGTTAATCATAATACATTTCAGTGATTAAAATGATTTTTAAAATTATTAAATTTTAAATAGAAACACGGTTGTGAGAGTTATCCACCTCAGACAATGAATAAACGGTTGCTTAAAATCATGGATAGATTAAATTTAAACATTAACGGCGTCGGATTCCTGCTCAATGGTCTACAGTTTAGGTATTCACGCTCGAAGCCGAAAGTCATGAGTTCGAATCCCGAGTGTGGAATCGTGAATACGCTCTGACGAGGAGGAGTCGCATACTAGAACAAAGCGGTCGTCCAGTGCTTCCAGGATTTTCAATTATGGTCTAGCTTAGATTGACTCATAAAATCAACTGTGAAAATAAATGAATGAATATCAGAATTGTTGTCAAGACTGACTGAATGATTGAAACTTCCAAACATTATATAAGTTGGAATTCTGTTCAGTTGAATATATACAAATATGATAAATGAATTTTAAAACGCTTCATGTAAATTCAATTCCCTAGATATGATCAATAAGAAATGATATGAAAAACTTATTCCATGATATAATGCATCGTAATATATACTTAGTTAGTTATTTTTATATAGGATATCAAATAAATACACATGGTCAACATATAGTTAAACAAATAATACACACTAAATTTATTTAAATAACAAACAAACAAACAAACAAATTTCTCTAGGGAAGTAAAGTTATTGTGTAATACAAGAAAATCACATGCATTTTTTTTTTAAAAATTACATCAGACATCACTTGCCCATGTGATTAAATGGAATGTTACTAGGATGCTACTTCTATTAAATAATGAGATATGTATGACTTGCATAGTATGTATGCGAGGACATAATGACATTATATATATAACGAATATGGAAAGGATGAATAACCGGAAAGAGCTAGAAAGGATTGCCTAGGACAGGGTTGGATGGAGAATGCTGGTGAGCTGCTTATGCTCCTTCGCGAGTATATATATATATATATATATATATATATATATATATATATATATATATATATATTATACAGAGTTTATTTTCAGAAAAAGGATAAATATTAGAGAGATGATTGTATGTTTATTCTGGATGAGTGCATCATTATTCACTTGAAGAGGTCGATGTTCTAAATGAGCTGCAAAAATGATTACATTATGTGGCTACTGAAGTAGGAACGAATTTACATTGGTAACTTCATATGCATTATTTTATAGAACCAAAAAGTGAAACTGAAGAAAATGTTAGATGGATATGTTTATATTTCATTAGTAATGTTACTTGGTGAGCTGAAATATTCTAAATTATGAGGTATTGAAATCAAGTGTAATTTTGGGATCCAGTTTTAAACCACTTTATGTGATTCCAGTCAGCTGAACAAACTAAAATATTTTGAGTGGGTTTTGAACCAGTGACTAATAAAATTATTAATTGGGATCAAGGTAATGATGACAAAACCAAGACAGCGAATTAATTAATGAAGTCACTGAATTCTCGTCTGAGTCATGTCGGAAAGCACAAGCTGCTTCAGTCAGTCATTGAGTTGTGTCCATATATATCTATGCATATTTGCATCAGTTTAAGCCGTCATTAGCACATCAGCCCATCGAAATCAAATTAGTAACAGTATCAATAGTGATGGAAAAATTAAATAAATAAAAAAGTACAAGATTTTACGATTCGATTCCTAAGGGAAAACAAAGAGTGAATTCACCTACCCTACTGCGAAAAGTTTTAAGTCACTGCATTCAAAATTTCAGGTTATTCATTATGATAATTAATTAGAATTCAACCCGGGTAATCCGCAACTATTAAAATGGTTCAGTCTAATTGTCAGTGACATGTTTTCTCCCTGAAGTATTAAAATAATTGCTATTCATGAACTCATGATTCAGTTGCATGTGATCCCATAGAGAGCATTTATACGTGTAGTGAATGAGAACTCAGGTGGGGAAAATTAATTTATTGTTTGATGAAAAATTATAGTGTCTTAATGTTAGGGTTTGAAGATAGAGAGAGAGAGCTATCACGGGTTCACGTAGTTTGAGAACGAGATCGAGGATTCGGTGACCAACGTCCAGTGAGCTAGCTATGAAAATCATGTATTTGTGGGACCTTGTATTTTGTCGTCATTTAAATCGTACGATGTTGTCGAAGGGCTATCCACTTTAGTGTGGACCGAGATCTGACTCCAAATAGATCGTATGAATGATTGCTAACGCCTATCCTCGTTTATAATCATCAACTTAAATCGCGTTAGTCAATAACGGAATTAAATAAATCAAATGTAGAGAATGGACTTTGAATACACATATTTTGTATATGAAGTGAATAAAACAGAAAGGAGGGGGACGATGCGCGGTGGAGATGGAGAGTAAGCCAACTCCATTTAGTCAAGCATTAATCAATAATTATGGTTACACAAAAGTAACTTACAGACATGTGATGAGTAATGGGATAAAAAGTGTACACACGCCTACGCGCTCATATAAAATCAGTCAAAATTGATGAGCGAATAATTAACAAGGTCAAAACGTGACTCAAGTAGAATGAATAGGATGGGTTGTCTGAAAGCTAGAATGAGGTATATGGGCTTAACATAATAACAGATACTACATATTAAATAGATCATTTGTACATCTTTGTGTTGTCCCTTATATGCTCGATTACTTCTCTACTTCTATCGTTATTTTGATTCCTCTCTGATTTCCTTCTTATTCTCTTCAATTCAATCGTCTGCTGCCAGGCGTTCCACTTCCGGTTGCGGCTACATACTACTTATATCTGACAACATAAGTAGAATATACTACATACTTATCTTACGTATAGATTAATTTACTTGCTGTATTTATCATCTTTTGATTTACTACCTTTCTGCGCAGATATAAAGTATGATGACTTGGTGTGACAAACATTTGTGCAAGATCCCATATCAATGTTGGTTGATCGGCTGAAGGCTGTAATATTCAAATCACTACAATATAATTAATAATCTGATGAACTACAACCGAAAATCTAACAGCTTAATTTATGTCCTTTGTTACGCTTATCAGTGTAACAAATTATCATCAGGCCCTTAGTATAGATGAAGTCATACATCACCTTCTATTAACAGAAGTCGTTAATTATGTCTATGTTCCAAAAATGACTCAGGAGAAATAACTGACTGAAATTATTTCTAAATCCAAATAGTTAGTCAACCATTTTAACCCCTTATTTACCAATAGTATTCACTTGATATTGTTTTACTTGAATCTTCCCATTGATGTTTAGGACTGAAATTGTTCAGTCTCTTATTGGCATATGTGCATACTGTGCGTATTGCCTCGATATTACCTTAATTTACAAGCATTATGAGCAAAGATGGATAGTGGCTAGCAGTGGAATCCAGGACGCGCGTTTCGTCCTATCCGGGACTCGTCAGCTGGATGTACCTGCATATCACAGTTGATGTTCACTCTGGGACTCGAACCCAGTACCGTCCGCTTCAAACGCCATCGCGTTATCCACTTAGCTACTGAGTCCTGATAGCGACTTGCTTGTGCAATGTGGTGAAGTTCAATTCACTTGATATTCTTTTACTTGAATCTTCCCATTGATGTTTAGGACTGCAATTGATCAGTCTCTTATTGGCATATGTGCATACTGTGCGTATAGCTGACGAGTCCCAAATAAGACGAAACGCGCGTCCTGGATTCCACTGCTAGCCATTATCCATCTTTGCTCATAATTACTACTAGTATGTTGAAATTATGATCACATCTAGCGTCCAGGTATTTATTTACTATGACAACAACATCGTATTGTAATACCAGTTTATTGTGAATTTACAAAGTTACCATCTATTGGTTTCCCTTTCTTTCTCTCTTTCTCCCTTTCTTAACCTTTCTCAATTAGCCAAGCTTTAACTAGGAAACTAGTTGGATGATATCAGATGTTTACACAGCTTATGTCTAACTGTCAGTGTGTGTGTGTGTATGTATGTATGTAATGGTTTTTACCAATTGCGTATAATAACAATTAAAGAATAAAGAAAACAAATTATATCGTAATACAATTTTAATTGAAACTATTTTCTACTTCCCATGTTCATTAATACACGAAGAAAACGTTTTCTATTTATGAGGCGGAATAATAATTAAAAAAAAAAAAGAAAACTATCAATATACTTACCTAGAAATGCAAATTTAATGGATTTAAAGTAAACTAAAAGAAAAATCAATGTGTTAACCTTTATAGTATTAATTGAAAAAAAAAGAAAAGAAAAGGATAGATGGACGGATGGATGGATGGATGGATGGGTGGATGGATGGATGGATGAATAGAAAGGGAACAAAAGGAAAATAATATCCTGTATTAAATATTGCAATGTATCTTTTCTATGTAATAATAAACAAAAAACAAATAACGCAAAGCTTCAAATTTTCAAATGAATCTCCTATTTGTTTAAAAAGAAAATTATAGATTACTGACTAAAATCTCATAAGATTCATCGCCTATAATAAATTCATTTATGCTTAGCATTGAAAAGATAATAATCATAGGGTCAACCAGTATGAATAATGAAAGTGACTAAAAATGAAATAAGCAATCAGTAGATTATTTTAGGTAGGAAATCGGCAAAAATAAAAAAAAAACATGCCAAACCTTCTACCTTTTACAATCATAGTTATGAATTATTTTATGGTATTAAAGTTGCTTTGTTATTTGGATGAGTCGGAATATGAGGATTTTCGGTAACTTACATTATTTTTAATGGCTGAGATCATGAGTCAGTTGTAGCTAGACGACCATGGAAAACCTGAAAGCATTGGACGGCCGTTCCGTCCTAATGCAGGACTCCTCAGCACTGGACATCCACGATCTCGCCCCCCCCCGCGAGATTCAAACCCAGGACCTATTAGTCTCGCGCATGAGCGCTTAACCAACTGACTCATGATCTCAACCATCGAAATTACTATAATATCCACAAAACCCTTTCTGACATTATGTTTATTTTGTTTGAACATAAATATTGTTACAAGAAGGCACCAGATACATATGCACCACACCTTAGAGTTTAAACAAATGTTCCGATAGGTTCACAAACATCTAGGTGGAAAAAAACTTTTAAAAATAAAGGTTATGGAGACACTTCTCATTGGTTCATAGACGAAAGTTACAAATCAACATATATAAACAGGTTAACAAGAAACTTTGAAACGAGACATCAAGACGAAACTGTACATTTCAACTTTACAATAAACATTTTTTCGGAAAGCCGAACCAAAGAAGAAAAACCATCTTCTTGAATAGATAGAACTATAAAAGTTTAATACATACATAAAACTTACTTCCTTTAATTGTACTTCCATTGGCTTCTTCTTGTTTTTGTAAATAATCTGAAAATTTCGCATTCAATTCTCTAGTAGCATTAACATCTTGAAACATCCGTTGTAATTTCGCAGTGTATTCAAAACCGCAAGCTTCTTTTAATTTAGAAATCATAGAAGCTTCAGCATCCTCGGATACAGATTGATTGTAAACTAAACGGCGAGCCAATGTTTTACTATAGAATTTTTGAAAGACATCTTTATCTTCAATATAGCGGAATACATTCATCTAAAATGATTAACCAGAACAAATAAGCAAAACTCCATAGTGACGGGAAACGAGGAATGGGGAGCGTTAAAAAAGGGATATCGTAAGTATTTTCATTGTACATTAGCATAAATTCATATGCAAAGAATAACTTACTGACTGATACAAAGTAAAAGACACTAAGTACATGCTTTGAAATAATGTAAAAAACATCATTATCGTCTTTTGTCAGTCAGTCAGCTACAACGTAGGACCAGGCACATATATGCATCGGTCCAAGTTGCCATACCGCATCGTCTTTTGAATACATTAGAGATGATTTTATAAACAGATGAAAGAAGAATTATGCAGTCTACACGGAAATATAAGTTACAAAATACTGAAATACTCACTACTTGTCCAAGTGTTTCTTCTAAATCATCCAACTGAATATCTTTCGCACTGAAAAAGGAAGAAAGAGGCACTAAATAGTGAGAATATAACGCATACATATGAACTATTATGAAAGCACTCAGCAATAAAATTGACAGGAAAGTGCGAAATAGCATAACTACATTACCTCCAGTTACTATGAATTGTTTTAATCCTCGATTGGAAGAAATGTAACAAATACTTTTAATCATAACTCGGTTAGAAATCGGTCAACTGCATTATACTTCAAAAACGGGGAATCTACACATAACTGACCGATATCTAAAGTCATAAATATCAATCACCAAACTGAAAGCAGGATAATTGTAATAGCTAACTGTAGAACGATATGTCCACTGATTTATTATACCAAAAATTAGTCATCGCAACAAGATAAGGATGTCTGGAGCTTCAGTATATAAAAGAGTTCGAGTTGTCGTATAACTGATACTTTATAACTAATAAGAAGTTCGAAATTCAACTAATTTACCGAATATACGTAATGGTGGCTTAGTGATTACAGCATTTGATTTCCAGCAACTAATTCCCATATTCAAAATTCATCCGTCTATTTGTTTTGGGGTAACCGGGTTGTATCTTTAGTCTTCACATTGAGAATGTGGGCCATACCCAAGTACCTAGTGAATGAGTTAGTAGATTAATAATTTGTCACATCATCTGTAAGAAGCCATGTGATACTATTTGGATGCTCCACGCGAAATAAGTCGAGTGTAGTTTGAGCTTGTTAACTGTTAGTTAAAAGTCAAGTGCTTTAATATATATAATGCAAAATGGTTTCTGGTGTTCTGAACTTTACGACTGAACGTTTAAACGAACTATATCCTCATATTATTCAATTAGTTAAGTGCTGATCAAGCAATTATAGAGTTTGGCAGAATCAGTGAAACACAATGAACGCAAGCTGAACAGGAAAGGATAGATTCGGGAGAGGTGCTGCTGTACTCTAGTCACGAAGAAGAAAATATCTCGCACACTCAGGTAGTTGTTCTAATGCTGTCCAAAGAGGATGGCACTATCACAGCTCACACATAAATCAAGTGACTTGTGTGGCACATATGTATTCAAACAATAGAACACACCATGTCGGGACTCGGAGGCAGATATCAAAATGACAAATAGCAACTGAAAAAGATTTGTCCAGGACAGAATTGGATGGAGAATGCTGGTAGGCGACCTATGCCCCTCCACAAGGAGTAACAGGTGTAAATGAATACATTTTTTTAGCTAATCAAAAAAAGGAGGCCAATATATGTAAAGGCTCATAACATATCTTGTGATTATAAATATCAATACTGAGCTACAAAATACAATTCAGTAGTAATATTTTAAAAAAATGATCATAAACACAATACAACTAAGGCTTAAAAATTTAAGAGATATCATTTAAAACATTATTAATTTATAATAATAAAACGAACCTTTTCTTTAATAAGAAATCTGCATATTTAGCTAAAAGTTCAGGGGATTTTCTTTGATTTCCAGCTAATTCAGTGACAGCATTACGATTTATAAAACGTTCGCAACCTTTATCTAAGGCACGTGAAAATGCAGGATCCCAAGCGAAAGCGGATAATACAAGATTATAATGTTTTTGATGAACTTTTAATATTGTATCAATATACAATTTGGGATCCTGAAAAATTAAATAAACTAAAGTAAACTTAAGAAAAATGTATAGCCGTGTAAAGCCTATTAAATGTCTCAATTATGATTGTATAAGCTTTCTGATACAAAACACTTTTAATACGAGTGATCAATAAGTAGCTTTTTTTTCATTTCATTAACATACGATTAATCTTTTTTGGTTTGATCGATGCATAAAGCCATTTCCATCAACAAAAAAGAGCTGAAGGGAAATCTTTTCACTGATTGTCAATGTGTGGTAAAAAGATATAAAAAGTAAATAAAAAAATAGTGAATAAACATCAACTCACATTTAAAGCAGCTTCAGCCACTTGACGGATAGCTTCCCATCCTTTATCAGCAACATGATCTTCCATAACAGAGACAAGAACACGTATTCCACTAGGAAAATGACCAACTAAGCGATACATTCGCCATATATCTAAATATTACAATAACATTTCATAATGTCGTAAATTAAATACAAGTGCAGAGATGGGATATTAAAAAAAAACAAAACACAGGTAACTGATAAGAGCAAAATATGTGAAGATGAAACTTTTCCTAATTATGAATGAGATGATCTTTGGGAACCGTAATAAACTATCAGAATCCAATAGATATATGCTAACAATTTACAGTTAACTTTACAAATATGTATAGTTAAGTTACTTAACAATTATACAATAAAATATATGTATAATATTTGTCTATTAATAGATCCAAACACTTACTATTCATGATTCACGTTGGGATACATATCACAAACATTTTAATTGTTAGCTTTCTTTACTTATCCTGAAAAAATTTCTATATTTAAAGAAAGTTATAGGATGTTATCAGCAAAGACAAAACCCTGTCAAAAAAACCCATCGAGTAACCGTTACACTGATTCTTTACCATAAAATTAACCGAGAGCTGTCAGTCAGTCAGCTGCAACGTAGGACCAGGCACATATATGCATCGGTCCAAGTTGCCATACCGCATTAGCACAACAAGATTAACACCGGATTCATAGAAGTAGTTAATTCAGTGGTGGTAATATATAGAAGAAAGATTGTGTATAAGGAGATATTACAAGAAGAAAGAATAAGTTCGTAGAAAGAAATATATGAAGTGATTTTAATCTCTTAATTTAAAGGAAGAGAGTGTATACACCGACGCCATTGTGATCGATTCTTAGCCATGTCACCAAGAGTCTCCAACCATTGGTTAAGATAGTCACGCGGACCACAACCAGGCAGTCTGCATCTACCAACATGGCTCAGACCAGAAGTTAGTGACTTCAAGCACTGATGCCACGTTTCGGTTTGGCCGTCCCTAACTTTCTTCCAATTATCCCCTAACACCGGTTAGCATTGCGCGTCATGTTAATCGGTGTTCAGGCATACGCAACACGTGGCCCAACCATCTCAGTCGATGAAGATTCATAACCTCATCAACTGATTTACTAACATTCCCTAATACCCTCTGTCTAACCTCACTATTACTTACCCGGTGATCCCAGCAGATACCAGCAATATTTCTAAGGCATCTGTGGTCAAATACTAGTAGCTTACGAATATCTTCTACTCTTAAAGGCCATGTTTCGCAGCCGTATAGTAGAACGGAACAAACTGCCGCGCAGTATACTCGTCCCTTAATTGATAGACGGATATCTCGCCTGCACCATAGATGACGTAAGTTGGCAAAGGCCAAACGAGCTTTTCGAATCCGTGCTGAGAATTCGTCAGACACCAACTCATTAAGGCTGATCAGACTTCCAAGATAAGTGAAGTTGTCGACGCGTTCGACTACTTCACCCCCTATCCTTAGTTCAGGTGTTGACGCAGACCAGTCCTGAAGCAACAACTTGCATTTGGAGGGAGAGAAGCGCATCCCAAACATTCTGGCATTGTTGCTCAGTGCTACCAAAAGACTCTGCATTTCATCAGCGTCTTCACCAAACAGGACCATGTCATCTGCGTATTCTAAGTCAATAAGTGTACCTCCTGGTAGGAGATCAATACCCGAGAATTCAGTCGATGAGAGCGTTATTTCCATCAGGATGTCTATGATAAAGCTGTACACACAAAAAAATGTACATACAGATAAAGTCTCTGAATCTCAAGAGGATAACCAGTTTTTTTTATGTACCAATAACCCCGGTTAGTGAATCGCAATAAGCTAGTCAATTATGTATACGGAGCTTTTTGGATCGTTTTTAACTATACAACATTAATCGAAGTGCATCTTTCACCCGAGTATCGAATCGGTGTATTTCTAAACTGAGAAATAGACATAATAATGACACTTATCTAAATGCTAAATAATATTCTTATTCTATTAAAACAAGTATCTTTTGGTTTAAAGAGTTGAGGTTTTCCAAAAATCTTAGAACATTTAGATAATGAAATGTGCAACAGTGCAAAATCATGATGAGTCTAGTTATTATGAGTTTAAAACCAATCATATGAGATTTTTTACCCATCTCTAGGAAACTTTAGTGCGTGTGTAGAATTTTTAAACTCACTTTAAATTCAGTTACTTACTTACTTACGCCTGTTACTTCCAATGGAGCATAGGCCACCGACCAGCACTCTCCAACTCACTCGATCCTGGGGCTTTCTTTACAGTTCTGTTGAATTTTCGTTCATTTTTCTCATGCCTGTCTCCATTTCTCAAAGTAATGTGTTCTTTGATATTCCTCTTCTTTTCTTTTGACCGTGAGGAATCCATGTGAGGGCTCACCTTGTGACGCAGTTGGGTGCTTTCTTTAATGTGTGTCCTATCCAATTCCAGCGATTCTTCCTGATTTATTCCTCCGCTGGAATCTGGTTTGTCCTTTCCCACAGTAGGTTGTTGCTGATAGTGTCTGACCAACGGGTCCGAAGTATTTTGCGTAGACAGCTGTTAATAAACACTTGTATCTTCTGGATGATGCCTTTCGTAGTTCTCCAGGTTTCCACCCCATACAGTAGAACTGTTTTGACATTTGTATTGAAAATTCCGACCTTGGTGTTGGTTGACAACTGTTTGGAGTCCCAGATGTTCTTCAGTCGTAAATATGCTGCTCTTGCTTTGCCGATCCGCGCCTTCACATCTGCATCAGATCCACCGTGCTCATCCATGATGCTGCCCCGATATGTAAAGGTTCTTAAATCTTCCAAATCTCCGTCAAGTGTGATTCGATTGTTGCATGCTGTGTTGTATCGGATATAAATTCATTTAGGGAAGTTTTAAATAACCTTATCTTATTATTACTCTGGAGAATTGAATTAAGTCTCAGACATTGTGTTCTATATACAGTTATGCACAAACATATGCACATAAATGTAAGTAAATTGTTATCGTTCTTGTGATATTCAATTAAAAAATAAACTAATCAGTAAAACAATTTTTATTTTAAACTCACCTTCCTCTCTATCTTCATTGAAAAGATCCGAGAAGACAGATGTTAACCGATCAATATGTTCACCAATTAGATAATGTTCACAAGATCTAATTAATTTGGGAAGTGTACTTATATGTAGATAAGTTTGAACACGAATACGTTCTTCATTTAATCGTGTTTCCACCTATAAATGAATGCAATTTCAAAACTAATATATAAATAGTAAAATATTCAACACACTTTAAGCATAAATACAAAATACTAAATATTCAATAATTATCCAATGGCAGAGGCGACTATAAGTATGATTAATCTTAAATGGTTATCGTTGAAAAGCTATGATGATGTTCAATTTCTTGATTTATAAGATTAAACACAGTTCTAAAACATGTTGTACGAGGTTTTTATTTTGACAAGAAAATTGGTTAATCAGTGGAATTATTAAAACCATCAATTGTAGTGATCCTCCCATAAAAAAGTTATACTGTTAGATTAATCTGATTATCTCAATGGCAAACCATTTCTTTAAGATAATTAACGATTTAGTGTGAGCAGTGTGAAACTGACACTTCATCGCATATTTTCAACAGCATACAAATCCTTTTAAATTAACAAAAACTCACTTCACTCTCATCCTTTCGTCTGTTTTGAATAGGTTCTCCTGACTTGTTCCACATCTTATTGTTTAAAAATTGATGCAAATCTGTACATAACATTTTCCAAAAATATATCTTGAAACAGTTCCTCTGCACTGTTTAACAAAAGGGACTTCTTGTATTTAGTTGTCCACTAATATTAGTATTACTTTTTTACTGCTCTGCCTTTCCATTATCTGAGTATTTGTATGAACATTTATAAACATCTACGTAACGAGACTAATAGACGTGCCAATATCAGTCCATAATTCAAGTAATCATTGGTTTAAACCCGGACAATGTGAAAGATGCAAGGCCAAACAACAATCACTACAGTATCTAGTGATTTTAACGAAGATTCAGGTATATTGAATCAACTACAATTATCTTGAAGGATAATTTGGACTTCTAATCCACTGAATCAATAACAATGGTTATCCCCTACAACTATGTTTGTAAAAAGTATTATTTTTTAATAGCAAGAGGTTCAGGCACTATCGCAGCACCTACCGCTATCTTTACGAATGTTGAGAAATAAATCGTCTGGCTATAAAATATCGCCGAAGAGAATGGTTGGAAGTTAGCCGATTGTCTAGTAGTATCTACTTAGACCAAACCTGTACGCAGGTCGAAGCGAGTGTCTGCACCTAATAATGATGCAGAATTGACTTGCTGCGATACCTACTTAAAAATAAGTTGACTACTTCATTTACATGAAGCTGTGATCATTAAGATCAGGAAATATGGGGAAGATTAGTCTACCACTGAAATCATAAGTCGTTATTTTAGTCACAATGTAAAAATACTGACTACCAATGAATATATAATTTATCATAATAACGTATGTAAATACATATATGACTTGCTTTTTGAAGGTATTCAGGTACTGTGTTTGACTGCAAAAATTGAGCACTTTCTAATCGGTAATACCGTTCAGTCTCAGTCAAAAATGGTCGTTCAAAGTATTCCTGATAAACTGATAGATTGGTTCGTGTGTCCGATGTCAATGATGATGTCGCACTAGGAGTATTGGGAGTAGATTCATCCGCTGGATCTCCGGAATGAAGTGGACCTCGGAAATTTGGGGTGGTTTTATTTGATGTGCCTTGGAAGCTGGATTCCTAACAGAAAAACCCACAATATTTCAAAATACTTTAAATTAAGGGGAAATATAGAGATGATAAGACATAACTTGGATAACTAAACACTTCCAACAATAAGAATTATGATGAATCACTACACCGTTAATGAACGAATTATTAGTTAAATTAATATGGTTGAACTTGTAAACACTGTACCGTAGTTGATAAACATTAAATTTATGTTTGCTATGTCCCGATAAGCATAATGAATGGTCACTGTCGGGATCCATTTATGGATCAATACTATGCGTATATTTTTATCATATAATTGTTAAATAACCAAACTATTTATATTCATGTTTCTCTTAGTATAAGCTTTATTTTGACCTATGAACCATTATTATACGATTTACCATTCTTGAATTATGCCCTGTTAATTAGTCGCTACCTCCCACATTCACAGCTACCATTTGGTTAAAACTTGTACAAATGTTGTTTCCTATTTTATGGTACGATGTGGTCTGTTTGGTTGGTATATAAACCCAGTATGTTTGAAATATAATGATTCATATTGCAGAGGCTGAGATTGGCGTTCTGGACTTAACTGGCTGGATTAGGCGGAAAGCAGGGCCAATAAGAACTCTAGGCCGCTCGCACGTGTTTTACGCGTCCTTAGTCCGATCGATAATTCACTGCCCTCTACTCGGCGGCCCAATATATAACAATGTTCTTATAATCCACAATTATCCGTGTAGATAAATCGAGTAAGTAATAATATTTTTTTCAATACACCTCGATCAGAACACAAAGAACAAGATATAATATTATTTACTTCGCAGTGACATTAGCGATTGTTTACTCATATGCACAAATACAAGCTATGATACCATTGATTAACATGTATCACTTCATATTTTACTGTGAACAAAAGTTACCTAGTTAGCAATGAGTGATGCAGAAAAAAATTTCACTAAAAATTTCTGCTACATAAAAGATTCAAAGGACTCACACAGAGTAGATCAATTTCTGATTAATTTTTTCTCATAAGAGCTAACAGATAAAAGTAGATAATAAAGTATCAGGAAGCAGAGACATGTCAACCTTATATATTCCTTGAGAAATTTTGTGAGATCATTTGAATATATAAGGTTGACATGCCTCTCATTTGAAACTAACCTAACAAGTGTCACTAACACCGAAGAGAACATCAACAGATGGTTATGTGAAATATTAGCTTAACCACAGTTGTAAATACCTCACTTGAGGACCCACAGTGCTGTCTCCCAAGTGTTCACTATGAAAGCTGAGGATTATTTTATTCATCGTCCTGTATATTTCACCTCTTAAAATCTTGTTAAGTTAGTCTGAAATTTTGAAACGTAAGGAAACGTATCACTATAATCTAGTAACCTGGTACTCGATAGTGACACCACTGATTGTGTGACAAAATATAGATTGACAAATATAGTCCCTATCTAAAACGTTAGATAATTAAATAACTAGATAGTTCGATGCTAACTTGTTTACACTAAACTGAGAGACGAACGATAATGGGTAAATAGGTAGGGTTATGAGAACTGAGCATTAATATGTAAACAATATCTCGAAGTACTTACCACTTCAGACTTATTTGGTTTTAAAGTAGAACCACTAGGTTTAGGGGGAAAATTAGGGGATTTAAAAGGTTTCATTAGATATGGCAATGGTTCGCTAGGTGATGAAGCAGTTCCAGTTAACGTAGATGTTGAGAAAGACTGTTGATCAGACGTAATACCCAACTCAACCAGGCACTCAATAATCTTTCTTAGTCGTAAGGTAGATAAAATTTCTCCACGTCGTTCACGTTCGATCTCACGAAGAATTGCGCTAATTAAAACCCTAGCGTGAGGTTTTAGTAAATGTTCGCGCCATGTTATCAGTGCAAGCTACAATAAACAGAAGTTTGCGAAATATTTGTTTGTTACGTTTTTAATACTAAATATGCAGAAAGTGATGAAATACATTTGTTCTTTAGAAAATCGAACGGTCATTTAAATCTTTATATGAAAGCTCGATGCTTACCTATTCAGAGCTGACAACTAATTTCTTCCAAAAAAAAACATGAAAATGTATGATCATGAGGTCTTTAAAAGATGAGGACATGAAATGTCAATTAAGTAGAAAAATAAAAACCACAAAAATGAATTTCCAAACAAGATTTTATGAACAGCAAGTCGATAAGGATATTGGCTGAATAGGAACAGCTGTCAATAAAGTAAAGCTAATTCATGAACGGTGTACCAAACAGTACACCAGTAAACTGAGTGTTCCAACACTATGGAATAGGTTGATAGTTACCCTTATCAGTAAAAGGGGCTTACGTCACCTATGCAAAAGCTATCGGGGGTAAAGTTTACTTCCGATTGCGTCCAAATTATTAACTTTCGACATACTTCGCAGATTATCCTAAACTCCTGAAAGATTGACTCGCGAGTATCAGGCTGGTTTTCGTTCTGATCGAAGATGTATTGATCATATCTTCACCCTTCACTAAATGTTAGAACACCACCATAGTCACTGCAGGCCAACAATCGTTGCATTTCTTTATATCAGGCCCGCCTTCGATTTCTTCAACAGGACTGTTCTCTGGGATTGTCTGGTGAAAAAGGGTGTCCCAGAGAGGGTTGTTAACATCTTGAAGACCTTATATACAAATACTTCAAGCAGAGTAGGGGAAGATAACCACCCCTTTTTTCACAGTGGGATTAGGTAGGGTTGCCCATTTTTATCATTCCTTTTCAACTTAGCCGTTGACGACGTTCTGGAAACAGCTCATACGGGTCTAGATAATAGTGGTGAAGATCTGTTACCTGGAGAAATGCATCCCGACTTTAAGTATGCGGATGATATCTTACTGTGAGATAATAATCAAGCCATGAAACCTGCATTTAGTTGGCAATTAGTGTCCGTCGGTATGGCATGTGCTTTGTACTTTCAAAGTGCAAAGTACTTTTCTCAGCCTGGCAGGGCACTACCTGCATTTACTCTTGGTGATGAGCAGATAATAGTCCAGAAGTTTGTGTATCTGAGTAGTTGTGTAAGTGCTGGTGATGGCGTGACTGTTAATATTAAATCATATAGTAAGAAAAAGAGCGGCTTATACCAATTTGGGCTATCTTTGACGCCTTCATGATGCCACCCTGGCTGGTAAAGGTTGGATCTACAGCGCATCAGTGAGAGCCATTTCGTCCAATACTTGTGAAACCTAGCCTCTTTGAATTGAAGATGTTAAGCGACCCGTGCATTATTTACCGACTTTGGGACTGACTGGAAAGAGTGGATAGGCGGTCAGTTTATGACTTGGCGCAGTGCTATGAAAAAAAACTGCGCAGTACTTGCATCTGTTGGTCCTGTACAACTCTCTAGTTGGCTTGCGGTGTTACCCGACATGGCTCAGAATACAAGCCAGTGGGGATCTTATCGTAATTTTCTTTTACTTTCATCATATAAATGAGAGGAACATTCCACCCTGATTGTAATTTCCATAACTGAACTGCTTCTTTCACTATAGCGACTATTATTATTGTCATTCTTAATGTTATTCAGTTACAAATTAATTCATTTGTCTTTTTATTATTATTATTATACTTACCTTTTCTCTGTCTCTTAACAATCTCATTTTTATTGTTGAGCATATATACCTGCTTCGGTTTGGGCACACGGGCAGTATCACAGCCCTCATACAAATTAAATGAGATTTGTGTGGCGCATATGTACATGGTGCACTTTCACCAGTATTTATGCGCTCAAATAAATAATTAATAATCAGGAAAAAATGGTCGTTCAACACAGTTAAGACTCTAAAATAAACGAGTTAACTTGACTATACAGACTACTATATGACAATTTAACTAAAATATGGCAATCAAATGACGTAACCGAAATAACTGATCGACATCGTTTTCAGCCAACCAGCTGGCATCAGTCAGTCAGTCAGCTGCAACGTAGGACCACGCACATATATGCATCGGTCCAAGTTGCCATACCGCGTAAGCACAACAAGATGAACACCGGGTTCATAGAGGTACTTAATCCAGTGGTGGTAATATATAGAAGAAAGATTGTGTATAAGGAGATATTACAGGAAGAAAGAATAAGTTCGTAGAAAGAAAGATTTGAAGTGATTTTAATCTCTTAGTTTAAAGGAAGACAGAAAGTGTATACACCGACGCCATTGTGATCGATTCTTAGCCATGTCACCAAGTCTCCAACCATTGGTTACGATAGTCACGCGGACCCCAACCAGGCAGTCTAAATCCTACTCACTGCCTTCTCGTGACACAGGTGTTGTTTACGAAAATGAAAGGACGAAAAGCGAATGTCCGGCGCTTTAACCGGATCCCAAACCAACAGTGCACATGGGCTAGCTCCAGTATCCTGAAGGAACAAATGGCGTATGAACCAATCGTTGGTCACCGGCTACCATGGAACTGGACTGCATCTCCTTACGATGCTCCACTGCCTTGTGGGTCAGACGTTCAGGTCGAAGGCTCGGGGTGTTGCCCCCTAAGAAAACCACCTGGTTCGGTTTGGGCACCCGTGCAGTATCACAGCCCTCACACAAATCAACTGAGATTCGTGTGGCGCATATGTATTTGGCGCCTCCTTGTACCAATACCTATGTGTTAGAATAAATAAATAAATAAACCAACATGGCTCAGACCAGAAGTTAGTGACTTCAAGCACTGATGCCACGTTTCGGTTCGGCCGCCCCTAACTTTCTTCCAATTATCCCCTACACTAGTCAGCATTGCGCGTCGTGGTAATCGGTGTTCAGGCATACGCAGAACGTGGCCTAACCATCTCAGTCGATGAAGATTCATAACCTCATCAACTGATTTACTAACATTCCCTAATACCCTCTGTCTAACCTCACTATTACTTACCCGGTGATCCCAGCAGATACCAGCAATATTTCCAAGGCATCTATGGTCAAACACTAGTAACTTACGAGTATCTTCTACTCTTAAAGGCCATGTTTCGCATTAGATGTAGGATCAAGCATATATATGCATCGGTCCATGTTGCCACACCTCGTTAGCACATCATGATGAACACCGAATTCCTAGAGGTAGTCTCTTCAATGGTAGTAATGTATGAAAGAAAGATTGTATATAAGGACCTAGTACAGGAAGAAAGAATTAGTTCGTAGATATAAAGCAATTCTAATCTCACGGTTTAAGGGAAGACAGAGTGTATACACCTATGCCATTCTGATCGATTCTGAGTCATGTCACCCAGAGTCTCCAACCAAGTAGTCTGCATCTACCAACATGGTTCAGACCAGAAGTTTGTGAATTCAAGCACTGATGCCACATCTTCGTTTGGCCGCCCACAAGTTTAACCAACTTACGTGTATAGAATATCCTTAGATAAATATCCAAGAATTCAGGAGATCTGTATTTTCTAACCAATGATATAAGCTTATTAAGCTCCATAGCTTACTAAATCATAGTCGTACGGAAAAGCTGGTGTCATGAGATAACTTAAGTTACGTGCCGCTTTGGTCATAGTTGTTTTATACAACACCAAATACCAGGATAAATAATCTCACGAATAGGGATAAAATACTAATGCAAAAACTCTAGTCAAAACCAAACACAGACCATAGATTGACATCACATTAACTTGAAAGTGGCATAGCAAGGTTACAGTGTTGGGGATGGTGCTATTACTAACAATTAAGTAGTCCTAGTAATTTCCTGACTATATCAATCAATACTGAGACCTAGAGAGGGACACAAATCACGACTGCAGGAGTTCATATTGGAATAAGCAGATGATGGAATGACATGATGCACGACAAATACTAACTATAACATCTAAGTGAACTACGATACACGAAAGCCACCAAATGTTGAGTGGATAAATAACCACAAGTAGCGGATTACTGAGTGTCCAGAGTGCACATAATATCAAGAAAAACCATGAAATCTTTTGTGATTTACTTAGTACTATAACTTCAAATACTTCACAACAATAAAAAGAATCACATACTGTATAAACGACATAAACATTCTTCCGTCCCTCTTCACATTCCCGTTTAACCCAATGTCTATTCAAATAATTACAAACACCATCCAGAACTCTTGATGCAAAACGGAATTCTGTCCAAGCCTTCTCGAAATATGAAAGGGTTTCTTCATCAACTAGATTATTTCCTTTCTGTAAAGAAGAAATTACTGGAAAATATTGTAACTAACTAGCTTCAGTGAGTGAACATGTGCTTTTAAATAGTTACGCAACTTTTTGTACAGTTCAAATCCTACTAATTTCCCCCCAGGTTCAGTTTCTATAGCATTCCTACTGGGGGTTGCATGAGATTTCGGGTCGACTGATGTACAGTAATTGTAAACATGAGTATGAAGCTCCATGTATCTTTTTCTCTTGATTGTCTCAAGTCTAAATATAGCGTCGAAACCACTTTTTAGGTCATCCCAAACCAATGCCAAGTTTCCAGCAGAAGCAGACATATTTAACAAATAGAAGGATTAATTTACATAGGGAAGCCAGTATGCGAACAGCCGCGCATTGGTACAACTGTCCAATAAAATCCAACAAACAAATACTTTTTAGATGGACATAAAAATTCACATTGATTATTGCTGTGTTCTACTCCTTAAAACATGGACTGGCTGACTTATTTGAGCTAAGTGCTTGATGTCAAAGTGCTAAGGCATAACGTTAACCCTCATGAATGAATAAGAAATAATTTAGATAAGTAGGAAGACGGATGATCGATGAGCTAGATACGTTGCAATGAATCAGATGGTTCTGTGGAGAATAAAACAAGCTTTTGCTTAATAGTCGTTCATATTTAGTAGCAGTGCATCACCAGTGCCTGAAGAAAGTAACCTAGGTGTATTTAACAATTACAGAGAAAGAATATTAGCAAATTATGCTGAGAAAATATCTTCGATCCTCACAAGTATGTCACGTTTCCTCTTAAGAAACTCCCAAGAAGTCGCTCGAACGAGCTCGATTGGCAGGGATTTTCAGTATTCGACTACTCTTAAGGAGTACGTGGTGTGCCTATAGTCCGTTACGCTATGATGCAGTTCCCGTTTCTGGGTATGAACCATAAATATTATATTCTGGGACTGATCTTCAATAGGTATTCAAGAGGATGTCCAGAAATACTTAGGATGCTGTGGATCATTAGAAGGTCACCTCTAAGACTTCTGTACTCCAATGAGTAAAGGTTCAGTGATTTGAAGCGCTCTTCAAAAGTCTTGAACTTGAGTTCTTGAATTGGTCAGGTAGAAAGCTATACCGTGAACCGATCAAAATTGAGCTTCGACGTCACTAACGCAAGGTTTAATCGACAGACATTTTTGTCTCATTTAGTGAAAGACTTCAGATCATAGGCTGGTCAAACTCCTAGGTACTCATCAACATGGGATACTTCTAGCCGGACTTACTTCTGTGTGGGGCCCTTTATTTTGTCGTCATTTAAATCATACGATGTTGTCGACGGGCTATCCACTTTAGTGTGGACCGAGATCTGATTCCAAATAGATCGTATGAATGATTGCTATCGCCTATCCTCGTTTATAATCATCAACTTAAATCGCGTTAGTCAATAACGGAATTAAATAAATCAAATGTAGAGAATGGACTTTGAATACATATATTTTGTATATGAAGTGAATAAAACAGAAAGGAGAGGGACGATGCGCGGTGGAGATGGCGGGTAAGCCAACTCCATTTAGTCAAGCATTAATCAATAATTATAGTTACACAAAAGTAACTTACAGACATGTGATGAGTAATGGGATAAAAAGTGTACACACGCCTACGCGCTCATATAAAATCAGTCAAAATTGATGAGCGAATAATTAACAAGGTCAAAACGTGACTCAAGTAGAATGAATAGGATGGGTTGTCTGAAAGCTAGAATGAGGTATATGGGCTTAACATAATAACCGACACTACATTAGCTAAGTTGTGTGCGCTATCTGCAATATGTTTTACATGGTTTGCTACACACTTTGAAGTATTAAAGGTGAGTATGTTGTTGACCACACAACGTTGAAGTCTACCAGCTAATCATCTTGGTTGTAAGGTTTTCTACTTAAATGTGATAGGTCAAATGATGCTCTAAGAGTAATGTCTATTATATCAACGTAAGAAAAGAACAGGCCATAGAAATTTCTCGTTGTGGACACCACTAGGGCATTCCTTATCCTATATATATATATATATATATATATATATATATATATATATATATACGCAAAAGTTAAATTTGTGAAGGCACTACTATTTGACGGATTGAATGTAACACTCACAAATTGTAAAGGACGTGATTTGGAATTTGAACGGTCAGATGCTTTGACCTCGGAAAGCAACTTTTAGTACCGCCAAATTTATGAACTGTCTAATGGTGGAGGGTTTACCATCATGAGCTCACAGTCTTCTCTGAATGATATATCGAATGCTATCAGACAAGAGATTATACGATTCGAGAGTGTTCATCCAAATATCTATGCTATATACGACCTTATTGACGCAGTTGAGGATAAAAACTTAGCGGAATCATTGCGTCAGTTAGTTGTGTCAATTGAAGGTACTGCATCACTTGTCAATCTTACTTTTCGACTCGTACACGCATTCGTCAATGGTCAGGTGTCAACAAGGGGCGGCCATGTCAATATTGAATCCTGTTTGTGCAATCTAACCGAACGGACCACATCCGAATAAAAGCGAATCACCATTTTTAGACGCTAAATTGTCTGATACAGTAAGCCAGCGCTCAGGTTCACTTCTTTTCAGTTGCAGGTGAAGCTTTCGACGATGTGGCTAGTATGATCCGGTTGGAATATCTAAATGTACTGTTCTGCAAGAAGATCGGCGACATCACTAACGTCTTTCGTTTAAACTTTAGGTTTGGTTCTGGCTTGTTGAATTGAGGTTACATGACGTAAGAAGCTTTTCGGAATGAAGACAAATTTATCGATTAGTTTTATCTGATACTGAAGCCTGTCTTCTTTTCTGCTTTGTTGCATCGGTTTCTTTGTTTCTTGCAATGCCTATACGTACTGTTGCCAGTATTTCGTTTGTAGTGTCTTTGCGTCTTAGCGTTCGAATAGTACGAATCCTCATGACTGTAGGTTGCTTGTGATTTTGGGGACCGTTTGTGGGACAGACTGTTTGGTAGCACGATAGATCTTGTGAAGTGAGAAATCCCAATAAGCCTCCACATCAAGTTAATAGTGTGCTTTCCTATCCATCTGTTGTGGATTGACCTGTAAAGCTGACATATCCAATGTCTGAAATTCTAATGCCGGTTTTTAGAAGGATGTCTTAGCTCAGTTTTGTACTGGAAATTAAAAGCAAGTTCACGCTACTGGTTTGCAATTTGAGATATTCATGTTTCAATAATGTTCCTATCTGGTATGAGATAACTTGGAAGGACGTTTTGGCGGCCCCAAGGCGACCTTGACAGTGTCCTCCTAACAACTAGGACCAAAAGAGGGTTATAAGCCAGTGTGAGGACTTCAAATTGTGATTTACGGTTGACGGTTAAGGTTCGGAATTTTATTTAGCGTTTTTGTTATTAACTGACGTCAGCTATAATGCCAAGACTCTATTTATCCAAATGGACGAGTGAATTTCGTGCCAAAATCCGAAACCTATTTTCCTATACCTGATTGGTTCATCTACAAATTATAGTCTTGCCGATAACTTTAATTCAACCATGTCTGTAGAGCAAAACGATATAAAAACTCTAGCCATCTGACTTGCGTGTCACATGGAACTGGTAGAGATAGTGTATTCAAAAAAGGAGCTTAGATTCAAGCAGTATTCTAACTTACCACAAACGTAACAGAGCCTAACGTTACAAATGGAGGGAGGGTGGTGTTACTAACCAGCAAACATGATGGTGAGGATAAAAATTCGATCCACCCATATCTCTAGAGCAGAGCATGTTGTTAAATTACGACTCCTTATTGTCAAATGGCGTATCACGAACCGAGTGTATGGATGTTAATTCATCATGCGAAATACCTCTATAAATCCTGTTTGTAACGTCGAATTAGTTTCACTTCCTACCGAGCAATCCTATAACAAACAAAACTAGGTAATTTGATGAAAACGAAGCCTGATCATGACCACATAAAATATATGAAAAACTCAAGTTCAGTAGGAATGGTCATTGTCAGCTCTGTTTCACGTTATTTCTCTTACCCCTCCTACATAGACCCCTCGAGATATGCCACAGAAAAGACGTATAAAACGGGTGACTCTATTTTGTGCCATCATTAATACATTAAATGTTCCAGAAGGATATAAGGTTATGGTTTATAGAAGTTCTCAACTTTGCATGGATTTATTTCCGACCATCAGTTGCACGTTGCAATGTAACCTCCATAATGCTCGCACCTTATAAAATATCACCCTAACTGAATAACCTACTACAATGAAGACTATATCTTCTGTAGCAATTCGATCTTGTCTGTAAACTGGCATGCATCACGTGACAGGCTGTCAGTTGAGAACAAATTATTACTGTGATAACTATCAACAGTATATAATTCACACAACTCATCCAACTCTCAACCTTTATATATAATCCGTTTATGTTTGACTTTGAAAGGAGTGAGTTTCCTCTTCTTGTTTATCTGAATGAGCCTTATGTAAAAGAACAGGTAATACACCTACACAGGTTTTCTTGAGTTGGTGATACCTATTCCGTCTAAGTTTCTTCATTGGGCTTGATAGTCCATAAGTGGAATAGTCAGTTCCAATATACATTTGTGCTTGATCCCTGCATCATGTGGCCTGATTAAATGTATGTGCATTCCAATCATTAACTGACGTCTGTAGGTACCGATTTGAACACCCGCTGAATCTGATGGGGAGTATTATACAAAGAGTAAAATGTCACAGAACTTGATAAATCTTTCAGGAGTCGGGTCAATGAATATCGAGCAAATTACCGGTTATCATCAAGATCATGGATAATCAACAAGCACAATTAATTGCACGCCATAGACTGTATCAGATGGTGGCAGTCTCACTCCGTTCCTTTTACCTACCCTAACTATTATAATCTGTAATAGTGTTATTTGTGTTGTACGGTCGTCATAGTAGCCATAGTGGCTGAAGACGTTGAAATGTTGAACCACGTTAGGTACCAGCCGTGAGATGTGACTTCGCCATTCCTAACTAACTCGCGCAGGCTCTCGACAATTTTACAGAGATCATCAACATTGGCTGTCAACAAGCTCTATACTTTTATGACACCGAAACAACAAATTGTACTAGGTGCAACCTATTGCAATCACAATTTTACGAATACCAGGACAAAAACTATACAGGTTATACTAAATCTCCAGAAACGCCCTACAAATGGTTATGATCATAATGGTGATATTACTCTGACAAACACTATTTTAATCTTACCCGTGAAACGATAAACGACGAATAAATCTTTGCTCGTACAAGCGAAAACCGAAATCGAATGATGGGGCAAAATCTATCTCGTAAATTTCATTGTGGGAATTCGGAAAGATCCCCCCATATATGAATTTCCATGTGACGAATTCAATT